GTTCAGGGTAATGGGGATAGAGTGATAGCCGAGATGAGTATAATTCCATTAATAATATTTTGGGAGAAGGCAAATGGTCCTTGAGCTGTGAAAATTTAAATCTTACCTCCCTACCCCATCTCTGTGGCCCCTTTTGAAAAGGTAGTCCCCCATCAGCCTTTTACTTCTCCCCCCTACCTCTGTGCCTTCCTCCTAAGGAAATTTGTTTATTCTAGTAGATGCTTATGAAATAAATGCCCTTATATCCCTGTTTCCCTCCCTTTGGAAGTAGCTGAGGTGAGAAGAGCAGGCAATCCTGTGCTTATTTAGAAAATAATATTTAAAGAAAGAGACAGGCAAGTATGTCGGTTATAAGCTTTTTCTTTTTTTCTTTTTTAGAATTGAAGCTTATGAGTTTATCTACGCCCACTATATTCATAATTACAATTTAATATCTGCATACAAAAGCTATGTAAAAATTCATTTTTCCCAAATATACAAATTTTCTTTTTGGATAGTTTAAAACATTTTGATCACAGATTTTAACAGAGTTTTAGGCTGAAAAAAATATTACCAACTTAGCAATATCACTTAACACTGTTTGCAAAACACATATCTTCCAATGACTGTAAATCTTTTCCTATTCTGTAGTATTTTTCTGATTCTCAGGGCATGAAGACATTATGGGGGGATGAGAAACGTGTTTTTTCTGGGGAAAGCATAGAGAACTAACTTGGCTCTATAATCAAATGAAAAATGCCAAGTTAATTAGGAAGAACCAAAACAAAGAAGTGGTGTAATGTCAGCTCATTCATGCCCTTACATCTTTTATAGCAACCATACCTGTGTAATTAAATAAAGTGTCTTCTTTTGTCTTACATTGTGCTCCATAATTTACATGAGTATTGTCTGCATCCTGAGGAGGACAGATTTATATTTGATTGTCTTGTGCATAAGGTGGGTCAGCTTTAACTGTGCAAAAGAAAGCCACAAACAGCGTTTTACCTGCACAATATTGCTCTTGAAGGCGGCATTAATTAATGTGGAAACACACTAGAAATGCATACTTTTTGCATTTGCAAACATTTATACAGCACAGTAAAAATTCTGTGATAAGGCCAAACCTTTTCTCCCCCCAGTCTGTTTTTTTTTTTGTGTCTGTTTTTAATGTATTTTTTTTTTTAAAGATTAAAGTAAAATGTTTCAATTGTAAAAAATACACACCGGGCAAATCCTTACCTGGATAATAAATATCTACATCACAGTACAATAAAATTTCTTCTCTATAAAATTTAAATATGGATTATAGTCTATCACTATCAAAAGAAACACTATGCTAATATTTCCATATTATTAAAATAACAGGAAAAATTACAAGCTTATTTTAGAACCTGATGCCATAGCTGTTGGAAAGGGCAAAGAGATTCAAATGTCTGTAAGCATTCTCCTTTGGGAGAGGAACTGCGACTTGGTTATTCACTTAAATTCAGTTTGTGAAAAAGGTTTAGCCTTACAAATGCTGGCTACATTTCAAAAACCATAAGACCGATTTCATAATTTATGACTCATGCATCAAAAGGTCAATATGACACAAATAGGTTAGAGTTCCATAGAATAAAAATGGATCACTGACAATGACATGCTTTGAGGGTTCTCAGCAGTTCCGTGGAGGCTGAGTCTGTCGCGGGCTTAGTGTTGTGGAGGCGCCAAGACTTGGGCACCTGTCCACAGAAGAACAATGAGAATGGCGTTGCTGGAGCAGAGCCGAGCCTGGTGGTCCATTCCGATGACCGAAGACCGCACTGCAGATGGAAGAGGTGTCACCTGGGGCACAGGTGAGAGGGGTATCACTGGGCTGAGGCATCAACACGGCAAGCACGTCATTGAGGACCGAGGCTCATTTGACTAGAAAAAGCTCTGAGGCAGCACGTGGTGTTTTGAGCAGAATCATAAAGAAGAAAAGATCTTACTTTTTTCACTATTTCTGGAAATACTGCACATCTAAATTGAAGAGCAAAGTACACTTGAGGATTACAAACACACACACGCGTGCGCGCGCGCACACATACACACACACACACACACCACTCATCCCCGAACATGAAGGGATTTATAAATAAGAATCCCAGTTGTACAGGTGTGTTCTCCTGTACTGGGATGTCTCCCCTCTGTGAGGGGTTTCAGTCAGGTCCACACTTGATCTGAAAGCCCGGACAATATAAGAAAAAATGTTTAAAAAAAAAATCCAGGGTAAATCCCTCCTGATTGAGTTTTATGAGATGGAGTCTTGAGATGCACTAAGTACCTCAACCGGTTACAGAAGAAATGAATCATTTTGACCCCAGGGTCACGATCCTTTGAGTCTTTACAGCCTTTCCTTTCAAACTGAAGTACTTTAAGGAGTGTCCTGCTCAGCATAAAGTATTCAGCCTACAACAAGGGTTTTAGATCCACAGTTTGCCTGTTTAAGGCAGTCATTTAAGGAACCGAGGATCAAACATAAATTTACTTGGGGCTGGCTGGATTACTGTAGATGTACTGTAGCATTTGGCCACTGCCCAGTCATGGTTAATCCCCAGAGCATTCAGATTTAGCCTTAGATCAGGCTCTGTACTTATATTTGAATCTGGGTGTGTCTCATATACTCCAGAAACTGTCAAACAAATTGAGGAAACTTTCCCAGGGAAGGCTTGATGCCTAACGGGTCTGTGAACCCTCCCGTACCCCTCCTGCTTGCGTTCCTCTCATTCCCTTCTGAGAGAAAACTTGCCCCTCACCCGCAGAGCTTCTCAGAGTTACCCTGGAGTGTAGAAAGTAATTCAGCATTATGTTTCAAAGAGTACTTCTTTAAGGAGAGTCAACAGAGAGAGCTCAGTTGCTAACAAAGCAAGGACTTCAGGAGACTGGCTAGAGGCTGCCTTAGAGAAAACAAAACAAAACAGACTGTAGATAAAGCCAAAGCAGGTAATCTGCCCATGAACTTCATGTTTATAATTTTAATCTCTTCCCCTACTTCCTTTCTTTGCTTAGCTAGTTCCATAGCGATATTGTTTCCTCTTCCTTAGAAGCCAGTATAATCATTTTGTGCATTAAACATATCTTTTTCCTTCCAGATTCTTCCCAGTCACACTTAAGTTTTTCAGTGCTGTTCCTCTCCTTTTTCCAAGGCCATCCTGCCTTTCTCTACATAGCTGATGAATAGTGTATCAAATTCTTGTTTTGACTCAACACCAAGTATGCTTTCCCTAACTGTTGAGGGCCATAATTTCTGTTTAATAAAGCTAGAAATTTGAATATGAAAGAAACCATCAAAAAGAAACAGATTTCTCCCCCTGAAACTAGTACAATATTAAGGATGGGAAAGATTTTAAGGTTCATGACTTTCTCCCAGGTGAGAAAACCAACAAGGTCACAAATCCACCATTTGACAGAGTACAAACTAGAACTCAGGCACCCTGATTTCTAGGCTAGTTAAAAAAGAATTAGTCCACTTGGTTTTCATAGTGACTTGCATTCCTTTGCTTTTAGTTAAATCTCACTGATATGGCTTATTTTCCCCAATATTTCCAGGATAAGGCAGTTCAAGGCAGGTAAAGGAATAGTTCATGTCTACTATGCCAGTGAAGAACAAGATACATTCAGTTGCATGGGTACATTCTTTGCCCATTTTTCTGAAATGATTAGGGGTCACCATGGGTTTTCTGGGCACAACCTACTGCAGTGTTTGTCATCAGGGAGGCGGGTTAGGCAGGGAAGGTGAGGGTTTGTGTACATGGTCTGCAGGTATCTTCTGTGAAATATCTGTCAGGGCAACGCTCTAGGAGGGACAGGGAGGGTCAGTGGCCAGACCAGGCTTTGTTCAGTGATAGTCAAGCCTGAGAATCAGAGGGAAAAGGGGACTAGGAATCAGTTGTTTGTAGAGCAAAGAGCTTGAGGATCTAAGACCAAAGGGAACCATCAGCACATGAAGAGACTCTCAGAACACTGCACTTCGTTCAACTCAGAATGCACCACACTTATCTCTCCTCAGAATTCCTCTAGAACAAGACTCAAATTTCAGCTTGTTTTCTCTCCTTGATTAGAAGATTTAATCCGTAGGGAAATCTGTTGTCAGCTCAGCAAAGATGTAATCAGGATTAAATAACTTCAGGAGTTTGGGAGATGATAGATCAGATGTCATTGAAAAGTGACAACACTCTGTAAATTGGTTTGATTTTGGTGGAAATTTTCTCTGAGCCTAAACTGTAAAGTAGCCTTCCTACTCTGAGGTAACACCGTGTGGATTTTTGGAAACTGTTGAGTCACTGACATTAGTGAAGCTTTCTAATTTCTTTGGGCTTGCTGAGGAAAATTGTTTCCCTCATTGGCCTCAGTCAGTCAGATACCTGCACATCTTTCAGTCACACCCTTGTATAACTTGGATGAAATCATAGGATTATAAAAATCAGAGTGAAAGCACAGCTGATTTTTCAGGAACAAATATTCCTATACATTCCAAGTTATGTTGCCAGGAGAGAATGAAGAGTGCTGAAAAACAGCATGCTCTTGAGTAGATAAAAATCAATTCAGACCTTTCCCTAGAAAGCTGAAAGCCACATCTAACCAAAGGTGGTCTGCACCATGCTAATTTGAGCCCTGCAAAAATCAGGACTGGATCAAGATGACCATATTATCTTGGTTTTAAGGCTTCGTTAGTCTTCTTCCACGCCATTTTGCTTGCTTGAGTCTCTGACCAGGGACTGATGGGAGCTGGTGATGGCTTGGTGCTGGTGAATTAATGATTGTCCCCACCCCACCTCCACAACTGTAAAACCTTCAAAGCATTCACATCAAAGGGCTGGAGAACAAAATGCAATAGTTACAAGTACCCGCATTCAAGGGGCAATTTCATCCATGTCTATGCTAAGGACTACCTCCCTTTATCCCCAAACAGTCCCTCCCAACACGAAGAAACAAAGAAACAAACAAAAAAGATCTAGGCAATGGAATGAAATGACACCCAGTAGTGCTGTAGGAATTATGAGAATGAAGTCAGTCAGTCTAATCCTCGAACACTTCCAAGAACAATGGGGGAAAGAGTTCCGTGGGGCATTCCACCTTCATGTGCAGGAAGCGGCTGGCATGGCAGGCTCCAATCATCCGCAGGTCTGTCACCTTCATCAGGAGTTTTGGCCAAAAGTGTGTCACATGATGTTTTCGGTAATTGATATAGTGTTCAAAGGCCAGCAGGAAACTGTCTTGGTATTTTTCTATTCTTTCAACGCAGGCAAGCCCTGGGCGGTCTGAGGGGAAGAACCAAGATGAATGTTAATTTAAAAGTGGAAAGGAGAAGCCCTGCTTTGTCCAATTCAAGCCCTTGAGTGTGAACTGGGCAGATCTGGGGACCTATCAACTCCTAGGATTGAGCATGGATGCAGCATGAACTCTGGGGCATCAGAGACCACGGTCTCAGGAAGTGTCACAATTTACATAAAGGGAGTCAGTGCTTTGTTCAGATAAATGTATCTAGGTTAGACAAATCACCTTCTTGGGTGGGAGTGGCGATGCCTCCCTCTTAGGGTACAGAAAGAGAAGTCTCACCTCGAGAGTTGAAATACTGTGCATAATAAGGGGAAGATTTTGAGTTTCCCCTGGCTGCCTGGCAGAGAGGGGAAGACAAGCATGGACATGCAAAGAAGGGGAGATGTGAGAAGAGACTGGAAATGTTGCAGGAAGCCTGAATGCCAAAGGAGGAGTGTCAGACAATAAGAAATTCTCACGAAGACAAAGAAGCACAATATCCAATTTTAGTTGTTTACCAGGCTGTAATGAACTACTCCTTCCCATCCCTTATACATGTGATAAAACTGCTACCTGTAGAGCCTTTTGTTGTTGGTGTTTTGGGGAATTAAAATGAAAAGAAAAGATGTGAGCCATGCTAGTATCACCCTGTGCAGAGAAGGGAAGAAACACGGTGGGAAGCTGGAGCTAGAGGAGACCATGACTGTGTAATGACCAAGAAATCTTCCCAAGTCTTGGGAGGACTGCTGGCCTTCCCAAAATATGTGGGAGGGGACTTAAGGCAGTTTCACAAAAATGATAAAGGGATGTCATGAGAAGGCTAAATGGGGAACATCCAGGCTGCAAACACTTGGGGTACAAAAGTGGGTACAGAGGGAATGTACCTCAACATAATAAAGGCATATATGACAAACCCATAGCTAACATCATATTCAGTGGTGAAAAGCTGAGAGCTTTTCCTCTAAGATCAGGAACAAGATATTGATTCCCATTCTGAACACTTTATTCTACATGGTACTAGAAGTTCTAGTAAGAGAAATTAGGCAAGAAAAAGATAAAAGGCATCCAAAATGGAAAGGACAGTAAAACTGTTACTATTTGCAGATGACATGATATTATATATAGAAAATCAACACTTCACCAAAAAACTGTTGGAATTAATAAATGAATTCAGTAAAGTTGCAAGATACAAAATTAATATACAAAAATCTGTCTTGTTTCTACATACTAATAGTGAATTATCAGCAAGAGAAATGAAGAACACAATCCCATTTACTATACCATCAAAAAGAATAAAATACCTAGGAATAAATTTAACCAAGGAAGTAAACAACCTATATGCTGAAAACTGTAAGACATTGATAGAAGAAATTGAAGGAGACACAAATAATTGGAAAGATATTCTGTACTCATGGATTGGAAGAATTAGTATTGTTAAAATATCCATCCTACTGAAAGCAGTCTACAGATTCGATGCAATCCCTATCAAAATTTCAATGGCATTTTCATAGAAATAGGTCGGACAATCCTAAAATTTGTATGGAAACACAAAGACCCTGAATAAGCAAAGCAATCTTGAGAAAGAAGAGCAAAGCTAAGGGCATCATGCTCTCTGATTTCAAACTGTATCACAAAGTTATAGTAATCAAAACGGTATGGTGTTGGTATAAAAATGGATGCAAAGGTCAACGGAACAGAATAGATAGCCCAGAAATACACTCATGCATATATGGTCAGTTAATTTATGACAAAGGAACCAATAATAAACAATGAGGAAAGGACAGTCTCTTCAGTAAATGCTGATGGGAAGACTGGCCAGCCACATGCAAAAGAGTGAAACTAGACTCCTGTCTTACATCATACACAAAAATTAACTCAAAACAGATTAAAGACTTGAATGTAAGACCTAAAACCATAAAACTCCTTGAAGAAAACAGAGGTAGTAAGCTCCTTCACATTAGTCTTGGTGATGATTTTTGTGGATCTGATTCCAAAAGCAAAGGCAACAAAAGCAAAAATAAAGTGGGACTACTACATAAAACAAAAAAGCTTCTATACAGCAAAGGAAACCATCAAAAAATGAAAAGGAAACCTATGGAATGGGAGAAAATATTTGCAAATCATATATATGATAAGGGATTAATATCCAAAATATAAAAAGAACTTCTACAACTCAATAGTAAGAAAACCCACAATTGATTAAAAACTGGGCAGAGGATCTGAAGAGACATTTTCCAAAGAAGACATACAGATGGCCAACAGGCACATGTAAAGATGTTCAACATCACCAATCATCAGGGAAATGCAAATGAAAACCACCATGAGATATCACTTCACACCTGTTAGAATGTCTGTTTATCAAAAAGACAAGAGATAATAAGTGTTGGTAAGGATGTGGAGAAAAGGGAACCCTTGTGCACTATTGCTGGGAATCCAAATTGGTGCAGCCATAATGGAAAACACTATGGAGGTTCCTCAAAAAATTAAAAATAGAATTACCATATGATCAGTTAATTCCACTACTATTTATCCAAAGAAAACAAAACACTAACTTGAAAAGATATATGAACCCCATGTTCATTGTAGCATTATATACAATAGCCAAGATATGGAAACAACCTAACTGGCCATCCATGGACAAATAGATAAAGAAGATGTGGTATACACATACAATGGAATACTAGTCAGCTATAAAAAATGAATGAAGTCTTGCCATTTACAACAACATTGATGGACCTTGAGAACATTATACTAAGGAAAATAAGTCAGAGAAAGAGAAATACTCTATCATCTCACTTATACGTGAAATCTAAAAACAAAGAAATAAACAAACAAAACCAAGCTCATAGAAACAGAGAACAGATTGGTGGTTGCCAGAGGCTATAGGCTGGGGTGGGCTTAATGAATGAAGGGGGGGGGTCTCAAGGTACAAACAAACTTCTAGTCATAACATAAATAAGTCTTGGAAATGTATGGTATGGTGACTATAGTTAATGATACTCTATTGCATATTTGAAAGTTACTAAGAGAGTAGATCTGGAAAGTCTTCATCACAAGAAAAAAATTTTGTAACTATATATGGGGACAGATGTTATCTAGACTTATTGTGGTGATCATTTTGCAATATATATGAATATCTTATCATTATGTTGTACATCTGAAACTAAAACAATGTTATATGTCAATTATACCTCAATAAAAAAATAAAAAAATAATAATTTATAAACCTGGCTGGATTCCTCATATAGCTCCAGGGAGCCCAACCACCTCCCCCACCCCCCAAGTACTCCTCCATTTATTTGCTCTTTGTGGCTCTGGTCAAGTAAGTTCACACTTTAAGTGTCCAGTTATTGAAGGATCTGTATTAGTAAAAATCAAAACAGGGTTCTGCTTAATCTATAAAGAAGGCTCAGCACTAATGTCTCAATTCCCTCTTCTGAGTTTAAACAAAATATATGGGCTTTTGGCATTCCCTATTTGGCTTGAATTGTCATTTGTGCATTTTTATGTTGTGTTTTCCTTTGTGTTTGATGCTGCTGCTCTGTGGATCTCCTCATTTCCTCTCCCGCCCTCCCCCTTCTCTTCTCTCTTTCTTTGAGTGTGCCAGAAAAATTCTCCACAGGATCCTTTTCCTTTTAATCCAAATAGAAAATCAACATAACACTGCTCTGGATGTATTCCTTCAAAGGGAAAAAAAAAATAACCTGGTCTCAAAATTCTGTCCTTTGATGAGATGTAAAGATAAGGTGGTCATATAAATGACACAGAGAAAATGAAAGGACATTTTGATCATGTTCACATGGTACTAAGCATGTTTATGAAGAAGTATTTTAAAGGTCAAAGACAGTTTTTAACTCCTTAAGACAGAATTTCTCAAAGACAACTCCTTCGGATCATTTCCGTTTTAGCTCTCCGCTCATCACTGCAGGACCAAAGAACTTAGTGGTACCAGCTCCTGGAAAAGGCTTTGAAGAAAGAGGCCTAAGATACTGTGTAACTAATGCCACACAGAACAATGGGCTTAGAGGACAGCCCTGAGAAGGGCTGGAGCCAAGGGGCACTGATATGGAGCTATCATGTGCCAATGTAAAGCGTCTTGTAATATTTTTCTGGTTCTGGCAGTATTAATGAAAAATGCCCAGGTCATTAGGGTGGAGAAGATTTTTAAAAGGTTTTAAGTATGTCACGTGGCTGTCAGGTGGTGACAGCGGCATCAGAATCAGGATGGGGAAGAATCATCCAGTTAACTGCTTGATAGAGTTTGGTATCATATTCACAACTTTTGCCTTCTCCACATACTCCTTTTATTTACCTTACTGAGATTATTTGCTTAACAATCTGCTAAAATTAACCCACTACAGAGGAAACATTTTATTATTCAGTAAATAAAAATCCATTTGCCATACATAGAAGGTAACCACCAAAATGGGTGCGTGACAAAAACCTTTATTAAACTTTAGCTGAAGATTCTTGCCAAAGACTGCCCCAAAGACCCGCTCTGTCTGTTAAAAAGGGAGGTCAGTGAGTTTAGAGAAGCGTTCAGGACAGACTGGCACCAAAATGAATCTCTCTCCTTGCCTTATTTAGAAGGAGATATAAGCAGAAAGAAAACTCTAAGAGAAATAGCTTTCTCACTATATGGTTCAATGTTATTTAAAATTGTCTTTGTACCGCTACAATTTCAGCTAAAAATTACCTTGAATCCCCCCCTCCAGGAATATAATTCCCACTTAGTTCAATTTCTTTATTTTAAAAGACACTGAAACCCAGAGAAGATAAGGGGTTGACTCAAGGTCACATAGTGAGTCCTTAGCTAAGTTACCCATTTTATTTCTTTAAGAATAATTCTCCTGAGGGACTGAGGACCTCAGTTTCTCACTGGCTGTTGACTAGAGACCACCCTCAGCTCCAGGAGGCCACATGCAGGTCTCTGTCATGTGAGTTTTCCCAACATGGCTGCTTACTTCAGCCAGCCCGCAAGGAGAGTCTCTGGAGCAAGTCTATTAGCAAGAGGGAATCTTATATAACATAATATAACCTCATCACATGGGGGTGACATTGAGTTCATCATATTCTATTGAAGCAAGTCACAGGTTCTGCACACACTCAGTGGGAGGGAGTTGTACAGGGGTGTAAACATCAGAAGGTGGGCAACATGGGGGGTGCCCTACATCTTGTCCGCCACAGCCTACAACAGGGTTCCTTATGCTATTCTACCTACTTATGTTTAGGTTTGAGATTTTTCATAATAAAAAGAATTAAAAAAAAAAATCTTCCATACCTAAATGTTCTGTAGCAAATACATTTCAAGATGAGCTTAAAAAAAAAAAGGAATTCTACTGAGTGAACCAGAGCGCATGAACTTTATAAAGGATTCTTACTGTACTTGTGACTGATAATTTATCCATCTGTTTAGTCATTTAGCCAATAAACTTTTTTTCAAATTCTACTAAACACTGGCCTAAGCAGTAGGTGTACAATTAGACATATTTCTGTCCTCAGAAACGAAACAGTCCAGAGGGAGAGGTGGCTAAGTTAAGCAGACAGCTATAGTGCAGAGGGACAAGCACTGAGGCACAGCTAAATGGACTGTGCTCCAAAAAGGCACAGGAGGCCCCTGAAACTACTTTCTATTTATTTTTTATTTAAAGATTTATTTATTTATTTGAGAGAGAGACAGCACAAGTTGGGGGAGAGGGAGAAGGAGACAAGCAGACTTCCCACTGAGCAGGGAGCCCCACGTGGGGCTTGAACCCAGGACCCTGAGATTATGACCTGAGCCGAAACCAAGAGTAGGATGCCCAACCGCCTGGCCACCCACTGCCCTCTATTTAAAGACTAGCTTTCCTTAAAGGGTTTGACGTATTTTGCATTTCTTATTTATTATGACATGCCCTCTGAAAAGTGTCAGTATTATTATCTACTCTTCACTGAAGGAGTCGGGAGCCCTGATAATGAGCTTGGGGTAAGTTAAAGATGGCTGCACACTCTTTGTCATTCCTCCCATCTAGAGGAATGGCAACCCCCGCCATCTTAGGATGCTTTAAGCCACTAAATTTTGGGGTGGTGTGCTATGTAGCAATAAATAGCTGAAAATTAAGTTGTAGTTAAGCCATAAACAAATTTTAGCTTTCACTCATGATTTCCTCAACCAGAACTTAACACAGAGTGGTGTCGTCACTCATACCCATATCTTGTGTACATAAAACCAGAAGGGGGCGGGGTTGGCCGACTATGTCAGGCTGGGTAGTGTCCATTGAAGGTGGACCATTTCATAGAGTCTTTAAAATGGCTCCTTTGGATCCTTCCTACTACACTGGGAGACTGCAGCAAGCATCAGATACCAGACACTCCCCTTCAGTTCCCAGTTCATTGGCAAACCCCCAATTGCTTGCTGAAAGCGAGTGAACTATGATTCTGAAGCTAAAGGGGAGGTGGGGGACGAGGAACTCTTCAAGTGATTTGAATTAGCACGAGACGCACAAAAGCTCTTTTGTCACACAGTAATGAGTCTGGGAGCACTTACCTGAAGACATTAGCAGGACAGCCTGAAGGAGAGCTACTTCAGTGTCATCCAAGTTGAAAGAAGACAGCGACATGCCCAGGTCAAAAATGGCGTCTGACACCACCCCAAGACCCCCATTCTTCAGCTGTCCCCGTGTCACTGCCATTTCCCCATTCAAGGTTAAAGTCTCACTTTCTGGGTCATAGCGCACTGCAGCGCGAAGGGACATGATCTCCATGCAGCAGCCTTTGAGGAGGATTATCTGGTCTTCACATGGCAGCTGAAAAAAACCAGCTCACATCAGCAAGAACAATTGCACAGCTATCAGTGAGGAATAACATGCAGTATCTTAATAGCAACAGGGACCACATCCTGCAATCAACATGGTGCTACACTCTTTGAGCCTATGGCTTTTCCCTTCCGACTTGGCTGCAGACTTTCAACAGCCATTTTTCATACTCCAAGTTGGTCACCAATTTTAATGTCAGTACTTTGCCTTTCTTTTATGATGGGTATAAATCTCCAACTGGGGTTGCAATCCTGTGTGAGATTGCGCTAATAATCCCTTACTCTGGGAGTTTGTATCATAACACCAACTAATCACTGCTTGAGAACACGGTTTATGTTAAGCTTACCTACATTTCTCCTAGTTCTACTAGTCAACAGTTGGCAATTCTGCTTCTCTTTGTTTTTTGAAGCAAGTTTGCTCCTTGGGTCTCTCAAAAGGCACAGAAGGAGAAGGTTGCTTAGAGAGGCATGTTGTCCCCGAGGCCCAGGGATGTAAAAGCTTTGCCTAAGGTCACCCAGTGAGTTAGAGGCAGAGGTGAGACTAGAATTCAGACCTCCTGGCTCTTAGGGTTATGTTCTCAGTACCTCAGGCACCGGAATTACTCCACACACTGGATTTCTCTGCCGGTACTGTAATCTTGTTTTAAGTATATTTGGTTGCCTTGTTAATTAGGATTTGTGATAATGTGATAACATTTATAATAAACTTTAAAAAAAAGCAACTTTGTTAGCAAAATAACAAAAAAAATCAGAGTTTTACTTTCTGGTGGGAGAGAATGTTTAATTAAAAGCCATTATCAAAATAGTTGGAAAGGTCATTAGTTAATGGATATTTTTTAGCATTGGGCATCATGCTAAGATTTATGTAATCTTCACAGCAATACAGTGAAGTAAATATTCTAATTCCAATTTCATTTACAGAAGTGGAAATCCAGGCACTGAGAGGTTGAGTAACATGCTAAGGGGTCACATGAGGGTTTTGTGAGTAAGGCTAGGATTTGAAGCTAGATCTTTCAGAATCCAATGCAAAGAGAAGAGAACACACTCTTTTTAAGTACTTAGGATATGACTAAGTTTCCATAAACAATGAATATATAAATTACACATAATTGTTATCTTGTTATGAAATCAGGTACAAATTCTTTTGGGGCAGTTCTCTTGGCAACACTCGACTAGTTCAATTTTGGTTGTTATGTAAAACTGAAGGTAATATTACTGAATTACATTTAAAATGCTGGGTATTACATATTTTTCGCTAACTCAACCTAGCCACCTTACCATTTAATTTCAAATTACTTAGCTTTTTCTACAGAATAGAAGTCATTTCATATTTGGTTCTGGAATATATACATAGGAATTTTCTCCTTCCACTCATTAAAGAAAAAAATCCCTGTGATTTGCTTTTATTTAGGTTCTAATTTGTATTCCTTGACTATACCCTGGGATTTCTGGCCCAAGACCATCATAGGAAATGGGAAACCCTGAGCTTGGATAGGTCTTCCACCAGTAAGATGGAGAATTGACCCAAGTAGGTGGAGGCTGGCTTTAACACCTACAGGAACAGGGAAATATTTGGCCTCATCAGGGTACCTGAGGGCTTGTTAAACACATTGCTGGTCCCACCCTCTGAGTTTCTGCATTCTCCAGGTTCCCAGGGGATGCTCCTGCCTTTGTTTCAGGGACCCCACTCTTGAGAACCATTGGCATAGAATAGCAAAGAGAAATTACTGATCAGATCAAACCATTTATTTATTTATTTTTTAATCTGTCACAAAGAATGCAAACTTGGGCAGGCTCTGGCTTGTAGCCAAGTCTGATTGTAGTTGAAGTAGAGGATTTCTTTTTAAAACTTATTGTTGATTGGTTCAGATAGAAATAAAAGCTGAATAACTATTTGTCAAGGATCACCAGCAACTAGGCCAAATGAGATTTATTTCAACATGTGGGTAAATGATCTTGGTCACCTGCCACAATACTTTCACTGTGAGACCATTGCAAGAAGGGCCTGACGGGCAGAGGTGCAGGGACACTCCCACAGACTCTTCTGTCTCCTCAGGAGAATATTGTTCAGGTTGATTGGCAAAGAGTGCCCTGCACTCCCGAAGTGGTTCTTGATGTGTGTTTTTTGGCAGTTCTGTCAGTGATTTTAGATCCTTCAAAGCCCAGGGTGTCCACCAACCTTGCTGGGGGGTTGGCATGGGTCTTAGCAGAAAATTACTGTGAGCACAATTTGAACAGCACGTGCTCCCAAATGCCTCTGGCAGGTAAGCTCTGGCTCTCGAGACCACCTGGGATCTCCAGCCCACTCCAGAGGCAGCTCAGGTGCCTACACAGTTCGTTTCCCTCCTTGGGGTTCTAATGAGAGTGAAAAAGACTAAAGGTCCTCAGGGGGCCACAAACACTGGAAACATACGTATCTCTGCTGTAAAAGTAGCCTTTTTGTAATTTGGAGACTACACAAATCAGGGTTGAAAGAGATAGAATCACGACTTTGAAGCAGCATTAAACTTCTGAGGGAAACGCGAAGACAGAAGCTGGCCATAGCCCATGCTCGAAAAGTTCCATGTTGACCCTTCATCCTTGCCATGGCTCTAAGTGCGTGGTGTGTTCATTACTGGTGGTGGAGATAGTTTCTTTTCTTTCTTCTTTAACCGAAATATCTCTCTGTGGTTGGTTTACATGAGCTTTATGTTTTCTAAGAAACAATTTTGATGGGTATTCAAAGGGGGAAGACATGACTGATAGGCTAGCTCGAGTTGTAGGGGTAGTGTCCTCAATAGAGTTTCTCTTCAGACACCAGGGATGGGGACAAGGGACACAGCTCAGAGACAGAGAGAGAGGACCAAGAAAGGTCCAGGAAAACAAACTCAACCCAGTGAACGACAGAGAAAGATGACACCCAGAGTCAGAGGAAACCAGCACCCTTGGCACAGCTGTGAGAGTGTGCACCCTTCTTGAGAGCAATTTGGCAACACATCTCAGAAGCCTTAAAAGGTATATATACCTTGGTCCTTAAATTCTACTTTTATGATTTGCCCTTAAGAAATAGTGTTGTGAGCAGGGCATAGGCACCAGGATGCTCACTGTACAGTTTATATTAGTGAAAAATGGGAAATGAACTGAAGGTCTAGTCAAAGCAGTTAACCTAAATTACGTAGATTTATTCTTTAGAATAGTATGTGGTCACTAAAACTTATTTGTGAAAGAACCTTTAAATGATGTGTGTTCCACTGTTGAGGGTAAAAAGTCTGGTACAACAGAGTGCTGGTAATGTTTCTTTACCTCAGTGTTTATTACATGGGTGTGTTGAGTATGTGAAAATTCATTGAGCTGCACCTTTATGATACGTGCCTTTTACTCTTTAACAAAAAGTTTAAAAAGTAGTTTCATAAGCAGTATGTACATTATGGTATAAATTATATTAATATGTTTCACATTTCATATAAGTGTGTGTATGTGTATATATACATATATGTATACACACACATAATTGAAAAAGACTAAAGTGGGCTCCCAAATGTCAGTAACTTATCTTTAGGTCGTGTTACTGTGAATCAATATCTTGAATATGTTATTTTTAAAAATTTTTTTAAAGATTTTGTTCATTTGAGAGAGAGAGTGTGAGTGAGCATGAGCTGGGGGAGGGGCAGAGGGGAGAGGGAGAAGCAGGCTCCTCGCTGAGCAGGGAGCCCGATGTGGGGCTCTGATCCCAGAACCCTGGGATCATGACCTGAGCGGAAGGCAGACCCAACCGACTGAGCCACCCTTGAATATATATTATTTTTAATAACCTTCCAGACTTTAATAAATGATAGTTAAAAAAGATGGTTAAAAAAATGGGAAGCTCCACACCAAATACAGATATGTCAAAATTCCTTCTCCAGGACTCACCAGCTCTTCTGGGGGTGGGGTATGAGTGGCTCATGCGAGTGGGGTACTGCAGGGCTGCTGCCAGCCAGCACATCACTTACCCTGGCCCCCACCACAGTGGAGCGGGGGCAAGAGTGAGGCACACACTCTCAGCTAGGTCCGGGCGTCAGACACCTGCATCCTGAAGCCCACTGCTCTGTCCTTCTGGATAGGGCTTTTGTGGAGGCTCAAACCAGGCAATGAGAAGTGCTGGTAATGTTTCTGGGGTCAGTGTCTGGGGTCTCTCAGAATCCACCTGGGCTCCCGTTATCGCAAACCCAAAGACACAAATGAGCTGGAAGGCCAAGGCCCGATGGAATCATTCCAGGCTTTCTAGGTGAGGCTAGATTCGCTTCTCACTCGGGTAGCTGACGTAAGAGGCTCACAGCAGTATGTGGACCTGTGTACTTGATATCTTTCCGAGTTCCCTTGGAGGTGGGAAGAGCAATAGAGTGGCACCTGATGGCTTTTCATTTCAAAGGGCAAAATTCTCCACTTGATTCAAAAAAGGAAGGTTAGAGGCAGGATGGTAATGTAATGGATAAAACAGAAGCCTTAACAGCTGGAATTTATGGATAAACTTAGGCCCCAGGCACTATCCAAGCACTTGACATATATTGTCCCATTTAAACCTACAATAGCTCTAAGAGGCAAATACTATTATGATTTCCATTTTAAAGATGAAATAACCAAGATTTGAAGACACCAAATAACTTATGTAGGATTCCTGCCCATCCGGCTGACTGCAGAGCCCATGCTTCCAGGTACCACATAGTAGGACTGCTAAAGTTAGGGAAGAGGGATGAGGTGTCCCAAAGGGAAAGCCTATGAGCTCAGGTGGGTGAGCTCTTCAGGTACCATGAAGACGGGGCAAGAAAGTGTGACCTTGTAGGAAAAGAGAGGAGAGCTACAGAGTTAAGATCCTTGCTCTGTGAGGGGTATCCTTATTTTTGAGGAGGAAACAACCACACAACTGTTTTGCTAGGATATGTAATGGAAAGCATATTGACTTAGACTGAAGCCATGGCCCCGTGTTCGGATAAAAAACAATCTCTTCGATCTTAGTTTTCCCCATCTATAAAATGGGCTTAATTAAAGCTATCCTGCAAATCTATTATAAGGATTGGATTTAATGTGGGCGGCGTTGAGCATGGTAACCGGGACACCATAAGTGCCGAATGAACAGAAGTTACTGCTGTCATATTTCCCTATGCCTGGAGCCGGTGGACAGACAGACAGGATCTTCAGCCTCACGTGGACGAGCTAATGAATGACTGAATAGAGAAGGCAGGGGAATAAGAGTGAAACAGTGCGTTTTCATTCTGTATCAACATTGCTTTCATATGACGAAATCCCTACTAATTAATATTAAATTATAAATCGTACTCCACATTCCTGGAAATTGTTGGAACTATAATGAAAAATAACGTAGAAGGAAAAACAGTGTCCTCACCTCACAAAACATAGGCAACTTTTTGGCAAAATCCACCACTCTGGTAATTGCTGGTGTGATGATTTTTGTAAAATGGCTAAAGGCTTCCAAGTCAACTTTTCCACCTTCTGGGGCATTTACTATTGGTGCTTGTCCAATATCTTCTGGCTAAGGAGGAGAAACAAGAAAGATTTAAATGTAGAACCTAAAGGGATCTTTATTTATCATCGTTCTCATGCGGCAGAAAATCTCTTCTGAATTGACACGCTATACAATTTCCAGTTTTCACTTGGCTCATTAACAAACTATGCAGTTCTCACATAGTTTAGTTTTCTGAGCAAAGATACGTGTCTTGGCCATTGCTTTAATAGCCCCTGGTGATAGTGTTCCACAGAATTGTTGCTGCAGAATTAAAGAAAGGGAAAGCAAGTGAGAGAAAGAGGGAGGCAGAGAGAAACAACAGGAATTGGTGTCCTGCTTCCGAATGCACAAAGGATGCCAGGTGACATACGTGCTAGGGGCTCTGGGGTGGCATTTTCAGGGCCCTGCACATTCTGGCCTGTGTGGCCCATGATGGAGGAGTGCGGTGGGGACGCTCCGGTGCGGAGGGAGCAGAGGCAAGCTGAAGACAAAGCACCAGCTGACAACCCCCTAACCACCCCCCACCTCCCAGACTCCTGGGTGGGATATGTGTGACATTCCTCCAGAAAACTCCCGACTGTCTTTTTTTTTTTTTTTTTAAGTTTTTATTTATTTTATTATGTTCAATTAGCCGACATATAATACATCATTAGTGTTTGATGTAGTGTCCGACTGTCTGATCGTTAATGCTTTGCTAGAGGGAGAAACAACCTTAGCTTGACAAGAGCAAGGCCTCCAGTATTCTGAGAGTCTTCTTCAGCATATAGAAGTCCTTTTGGACATCTCCCTTTTTCCTTACCTCGCCCAGCTCCCAAGTATACAATCAGCCATTCCTCAACGACCGCAGTGCAGCAGCTCTTTCTGCCCTTGGGTCCTATCCCCGTGCTTTAATAAAATCACCTTTTTGCACCAAAGACTTCAGCTCTGGACCTCACCAACATTCCCAAACTACATCATTGGCAAGTAGCACCCTGTGGATTCGTTCTTGCTTTTGACCCAGCTGCTGGGGCTCAAAGTTCCTGTCTGCCCTATAGATTCTAGTTGGAGGAGGTCTCGGAGGGCTGAAGGGGAAGACCTCTAGGTCACCTGTAGGAACTGAGTTGTGTCAACTTGGCAGGCTTTCGGGCAGACAGTATTACTAGTATTCAGTGTCCCCGGGGGCACTTCTCTGCCCTTGACTTGTCCAAGAACAAAAGCCTTGCTACTCAAAGGGTGGTGTAGCAGCTTGGGTGTCATCTGGGGACTTGCTAGAAAGGCAGAATCGCAGCCCTTCCCCAGACCTAATGGTGCAGAACCAGCATTTTAGCAAGTCCCCCAGGTGCTTGTGCTCACGTTAGCCTCCCCGATGTCCATTGGTACTCTTCAGCTCCTTAGCCGAGGGCTCCAAGACCATCATGGTCTCTCAAGTATCGCCTATCGTCACCTGTGTTACCTGCCAGGAACAGTCCTCTCTGTTGCCCTTTCTTGTTGTTGTGATAATTATAACCACTATTTATCTGTGGCCTGCAGGTGAGCCAGCCCCTTTGAGGAAGCGCATTATCTCAAGTAGTTCTCACACAATCCTGATTGGCAGATGAGCAAACAAAGGGCTCAAGAAGGTTAAGAACAATCCCCTGAGGCCAGGACTCGGATATTGGTCACCCAGCCTCTACACAGCAATCTGCCAGGAACCCCACATCTACCCCCTACTTCGAGGCTTTTACAACCTATACACTTTTTTTAAAAAAAAGATTTGAGAGAGTGAGCACTCACGTGCAGCCCCGACATGGGGCTCAATCCCACGACCCTGGGATCGTGACCTGAGCCAAAATGAAGAGTCAGATGTTTAACTGACTGAGCTACCCAGGTGCTCCACAACCTGTACACTTTTGACACCAGGGGGCAAAATTCGACTCCTCCTATTATTTCCCTTACCGGTCTCTCCCACTGCCTTGCTGGAAGTTGTGAAGGTGATCAAAGGGATCAGAGACTCAGGCCTGTCCCATGGCCTAGAGCACAGTGAACCGACCAGAGCTGCGCACCCAGGGTTGGGAGATGCAGGACGGTAGGCAGAGATGGGCGGGAGGATCTGGCACCCAGAACTAGTCAAGCAAAGCTGAATCCCTCACTTGCAGAGTCATGAGGGCACTGCTTTTGACAAGACTGTGGCCTCCCTACAGCCATGGTCCCCAAACTTGCTTGTGTCAGAATTGCCTGATGGGTGCCCATGTCCAGAGTTTCTGATGCTGTAGGTCAGGCATAGAGCCTGGGAATCTGCACTTCCCAGGGCATGCTGATGCTGCTGGTCTGGGATTACACTTTGAGAACCACTGGCCTGGAAGTAACCACATCCAGCTCAGAGTAATCCAGTTACCATTTTCTTCCCACACCTCCCCAGTTATTGCTCACGTCTAATTTTTAGCACAAAGAAAAGCAAAGGATGATTCTTTTACTGACTTATTACTACGGCACTGGGGTCAATAGGAGCAGCCCAGGCCCTCTCCAAGGGTGTGGTAGGAGCTGTGGTTACAGCCTAGGGGAGGATTTTTAATATATATTACATAACAAACTGGCAGCATTGACCTTTTTTGGGTTATCCAGTAGGTTCTTCTGTTTTTTTATTTTATTTTATTATTTTATTTTATTTTATTTTGTTGTATTGTTTGCTTTGTGGGCAGCAAGTGAATGGAAAGGAACCTAGTCTGTCACGTTATCATAGTCAGTGATGATGTTTTGGGGCAACTGTTGGCATGGGAAGCCCATGGGAGGCTCCTGCTCTGCTGGCTTTCTGGATGCAGACAGAATTGACGGAATAATCACACATACAATTTCCTTCTCTCTTTTCTCTCTCACTGCCTGTCTTTCTCACACAGCCTGAGTGGAGGGAAAGGGCACATCAGGTCCTCCTTTGGGCGGTGCTGCTCCTGGCATTCTTCACCTCCTTGCTGGTCTTTATAATTCCTCCCACCCCAGAAATGAGGTTCATCTCACCTGCCTTGCTTATTTTACAACTCTGTTATGAAAATCGACTGATAAAAGGAACATGGTCATACAATAAAAAAGAAAAGAAGTTTTATACACACACACACACACACACACAGGGTGAGCTTTTTTAGAAATAAAAAAATAACAATATTTTAATGTTTTTATAGTTTGGCCAAATGTCTTGTCATTGAATACTGATAGATCTAACCTGATTGTTTTGAATGGTAATCAGTGTCCTTTGAAATGTCGCTAAGTTAATACGATTTTAAAAATTTCCATTTAATCTGTGGGCTTGTGGAGCATTTGAATTGCACATCTAAGGGTTTGAAAAAAGGAGGGGAATTATACAAGGAAATATGGTAATTTTAATTAAAATTAAACTTCCAAATGTAACCACCTCACAAGCTTTTCTGTTGAAAAATAAGTATCAGGGTAGAAAAAAAAATGTACTTTTAAGTCTTTGGGTATTTAATGGAAAATACAACTGCTAGAAGTAAAATCATATACAAAGTAAAAGCTTTTTATTATATATCAAGCTTTATTCCCATAATGGATCTTGGATACCAGAAAAAAACAGATAGATAGATAGAGTCTATGAATTGACCTGACTTAACACATGAGGTATGAGAAATTAAGGTTGAGCACTGCAACCTTGTCTGTGACTTCCCTAAGGATTTTTCACATCATTTGCTGCAATATTTGGAAGATGATAGAAATAAAGAAGAATACAAATAGTTGGCATCAAATGAATCTATTAGATACGTAAGTAAAGCTAGTAGCCTTGTAATACATGACATGAGATACATTTGCTCACACACACACACACGCACACACACACACGTGAGCATGCGCTGAGATCAAGCTCAGGTACTGAGGATAAGTCACCAGGGTAGACTGTGGGCAAAGCCTGGTTTTTGCTTCCGTGGCTCAAACTGCCTTTGCTTTCTCATTGGGGTGCTTCCACTTCTCATTCTGACTTTCCTCTCCCTTGGCTGCCCTAGCGGACCTCCTGAGCCAGCTCAGCCTACCTCTTCATGTCTCCTCCCCAACTTGCTTTGCACTTTTGCAGTTTGGAGCTGCCTTTCCTCTGGACTTCTGCTTTCTCTCAAGTCTCCGCTTCCATCTTATCTTTGCCAATTCCAAATCCTACCCCAATCACATTCTATTTTCTCCTTGAAGTCTTCCCAGATGACCCATGTGAAATGCTGCCTATCTCACCGGAACACAGACGGTGGCCCATGTACATCACTCACATGGCATTCAGGCATTTATTACTATCACTTTTTATTGCTGTTATGTAGGTACATAGTAAGATACGAACTTCTCGGGTGGGGGGCATAAGCTTTAAGTTTTGTTGTCTACTGTGTGGAAAACATTGGGCTAAAAGGTGGAGGACAGAATGCTTGTTGGTTGGTTGAGTGAATAAATGTATGTTTATACATGTTCAACCAATATTTATTGAGCAGCTACTACAGGGCCAGGCCTGGTTCTAGATGCTGAGGTTACATCAATGAACAATGTACCCTCAAGGAACTTTCACTGTATTGAGGGAAGACAGACAAAAAAATAAAAAGAATACTCTCACAGAAGAATTTCTATTTGTGATTAGACTGAGGTGACATGATAGTATGTGGGGGCCAGAAAGAGGGTGCGCAGCCTAAGATTCTTTGAGAAGTGATGTGTGAGCTTTAACTGGAAGAATGTCAAGAAGGCAGCCCTCCACAGAACCAGAGGAAGAGCATTTAAGGCAAAGGGAAAAGCCAGTGCCAAGTCCTGAGAAAGGAGTTGTTGGGTTGCTATGCGGAGTAGGGATGTGGGGAGCCAGAGGAAGAAATGGGCCGGCAGCACTAGCTGTTTGGGCCGGACATGAAGTGGTCTGGACCACGGGGCGGCAGTAGAAATGGAGAGAAGTGGAAGAACTCAAACCTTTCTTGGGAGCCGGACCCAGGGCTTTCTGACTGACTGGATGTGGGGTGCAGGACAAGAATCCAGGATGTCTCCTTGGAGGCAGTGTAGGGGGTAGGGGGGCACAACGGGAGAGATTCAGGGGTGTGTGCAGGGGTGGGCTTCTACTAGCTCAGTTGTGTCCCTAGCTGCTGATACACAAATGGAGACTAGGTGCTTTTCTGCTTTGACTCTTCAGTATTATTCAAGGTGAGTAGCAGATGCTGCCCGTTGGCCTCTTTGCAGTGGGTGGCTCAGAGCTGAGGGCTTCTTGGCTTGAACCTGCAGCTCTCTGGCACATGCAGAGTGGGACAGGGCCAGACAGAACTCTGCCCTTCCTATGTGAGGTCACAGGGTATCTTCTTGCACCTTTGTAAGGGGGGGGGGCAGGAAGGCCCAGACCAATGGTGGTTAAAGGTCCCTGGGCTTTGGCATATTACTACAGGCTCTCCCTTTTCCTGGGATGAACAGGGATGGACGTGAGGATGGGGGTTGTAGGGATAATGCACATAGGAACCCCTTGCGTGGTTGTTAATGATGTGCTGAGCACTTATATCTACAACTTTTATACCTTGTTGTGTAAAGTCATATGAGCCTTAGAGAGGCGAAGGAACTTGCCCAAAGTCACGTAATTAAAAAGCAACACCACCACCAAATATATATATATATATATATATATACATATGTAAAAAAAATAAAAAGCAACAGAGACAAGCATTGAACTCAGGCTGTCTGACTGAATCTCCATGCACATGACTATACGACCCTGCCTTCTTCTGATGCAGTTATGATTTTGGGCGATAGAAGTCTTCCTGTCTTGATTGCTTTTGCCTTATGACCAGATCACCCATCCTGCCTGGCCCTTCTGCTTATGCCCCTTTTCTGAGGCTTTCCCAACAGAGCATAGGTGAAATCAGACAGCAGCTCTGCCGGGGAAAAGTAGGGCACGCCAGCCCTGGTTCTGATGGTCACATTTTATACTTGCATGGAAAATCCATCCAAAGCTGTACCTTTGCATGTGAACAAAGGGAGAAGAATAAAAACACCATGTCAACAGACAGTATTGTTGCTGCTACAGGGTTTACTCCAAGCCATGTGTCTTCCCGCCCCTGGGGTGGGTAGAAGTGAATTGCCCGTGGTGGAGACACTGCTTCTCTTGTTTGGCTCAGATGGCCCTTGTTCTCTTCTCTGTGCACTTCTCTGTTTCATCATTGCTGTCACCACACCCGAAGGGTGGTTACATTGGGCACTTCTGTACCATCAGGGATTTGTGTGGATTGGAGAAAACTAGAAAATTATTATTTAAATGCTTTTGGAAGTAGTTTTAAAGAGTGGCTTTGGAATTACTATGAAAATCTACATGGCTTTTTAAAAAGTTTATTTGCCAATGACTCTCATTTCTACAGACACAAATATAGATTTGAAACCCAGGTCAAACCACCAGTCTCTATTTCTGACTTGAGTCCTGGTGTTAGGGTGAAAAATGATGAAGAATCTTCTTTTGGGGGAGTAAGTTATTTTCCTGTTCCAGATAGATGAATACTTCCAGTTTTTATGACAACATATAATTTTTAGTCCCTTCTGATATATTACTATACGATTATATTTTTAAAGATTTTTATTTATTTGAGAGAGAGAGGGAGAGAGAGAGCATGAGCAGAGGGGAGGGGCAGAGAGGAGGGGCAGAGGGAGAGGGAGAAGCAGGCTCCCCACTGAGCAGGGAGCCCAACATGGGGCTCAATCCCAGGACCCTGGGATCATGACCTGACCGGAAGGCAGATGCTTAACCGACTGAGCCACCCACGTGCCCCTATTACTATACTATTATTAACATAATAGGTCTCTTCAAATTCTTTTTCAGAAGAAGATGGGCCATCATCACATACAAATAAATGAAATAATATGTGTAGCAGTGTTATAAGCTGAACAGAGGCAGCCACACGGGAGATACAAATCCTAATGTGTAGAAGCCTATTCAGACATGGATATCATTTAGCAAAGCTGCCTTTAATGAAGGATTCTTAATGTCCTTGCAGGAATAATTCACTCAGTGAAATTTTAATCCTGAGCATACATACTCAATCGGAGTGACCCTTCTGCAAGAGGGATGTGTAAATATGTAAACTGGCTGAGACACAGGGCTTAACCGTACTGTCTCTGAGGATGGGCCAGTGGAACTGTACATTCTGTTTCACAAATATTTATTGAGTTCTGTTCTGGTTATCTATGCTGTGTAACAAACTACCCTAAAACTTAGTGGTTTAAAACAACAGATTTTTACTGTTGCTCAGAGCTGATGGGCTCAGCTGGATGGTTCTCACTGGGGTCCCTCATACAGTTGTCCTCAAATGGCAGCAGAGGCTGGTGTCATCTGTAGGCTTCTTTACCCACATTTCTGGTGTCTGGTTTGGCACCAGATTCAGGCTTAAGAGTCACTCTGCTAAAATCTGTTGCTTAAAGGAATCACACACCCAGCCCATGTTCAGTGAGAGAGAGAGGAATAGACTTCACCTCTCCATGGGAGAGAATGAGCTGTATCTACAGGGAAGAAAGGATCTCGAGGCAGCCATCTTTGACAAGAGCTACCACAAGTTTCAACCACACATGTGATCGACACTGAAGTGACAATACTGAATGGAACATGGTCCTTCCGTTGAGGAGATGCTGGGGTGATCCCAGTCATGGAAGGGGATTGACTTATAGAAATGAAGCTCATTGTAGAGACAGATGGGACTGTGACCCCAGCACCACTCTAAGAAAAAATGGCCAGGAGAAGCAGTTCTTTGTATTTGGACCAAGAGGGACAATTTCTTAAACAGATCAAGGATCTATAAAATATACATTTCACATTGGCTCCACTGAGGAGGGGAGACAGGTGGATAAAACAGTTGCTCTGTAAAAGTCAGCTTCCCAAAAAGAACTCTTGTTCCTGGATAACCTCACGGCCCTGACAAAAAAAAACTAATGGCGAATCATCCTGTGCCATACTTTCTTCGGTTCTTTCTGTAGATGACCAGACTGATGAAAAGCATTAGGAGCCTTTGAGCTAAAGGTGCAGCCCTGGTTTTAATCATTAGCAATAGTATCATCTTTGCTAAAGAGACCACAAGGCATAAAGAGATCTGACTGGATTTTACCATATAGAATTTGTTTCTTAGCTTTCAGACACAGCTCATGTCACCTCCCCAGGGAGACTTTCTGACCACCCTGTCAGAGAAGGGAAGTCTCTCCACTTCCAGTTCTCTATCACTCTGTCCCATCATGATGTTTGTTTTCCTCACTGCACATACCACCACCTGTATTCATCTTGTTTATTTAATCCTTACTGTTTTTCTCCCTCCACCAGAATAGAGCTGACTTATTCACTTCCTAGCATACAGTAGCTGCTCAATAAATGTTTTTTTTTTTTTTAAACAAAAGAACAAACCTTTAGAGTCTGGAAGGAAGCACCCTTGTGACCACTGAAATGGTTTTAGTTAGACTAGTATTCATTCTCTTTTTGGAGTAGAGAAAACTGAAGTGTAAAGTTCCTTAGAAGTCCAGATGTGCCCCAAATCTTCCACTTTATTTGAAATTCAGCTCGGTCACTACTCTGAAATCAGGCCTGGAAGTGGCAAGGTCAGTTTCTGAGATGGTCAAACACCAGCTGGTGGTGGCGGGGTGGGGTAGTCCATCTGGTGAGGTGGGTGGACAGCCTGGACTTCTAAGCTTGGCTGCCACTTTTTAGTAGTGTGAACTTGGGTGAACTAAATAAGGCCTTTGGTTTGGTTTGCATATCTGTAAAATGGGGATAGTAATTCCAGCCTAACCCAAAGCATTGTGAGGTCCAAAGGAGAAATGAATGGGAAGGACTTTCACAGTGGTTAGTTTTTATAAAAACATCAAACATTGATCTTCCAAGGGCCCACAAAGGCCTGTTTTCTCTGTATATCCCCACCCCCAAACACCCTCCCTACTCCCATTCCCCTCGTCTTCCTGGACTCAAGTTCATTTATTTTAAGCTAAACATTTTGACTTCTGTTGACATAAAAATACATTTGAGATATGGGATACTTCATCCTAGGGATTGTTCTAAAGGGGATATCTTGGGGTGAGTTTAGAGGACTAACTACATAAATGGGCATCTGGGAGAAGAAATGGGTGTAAAAGGGGAAAGCTGACAGGTAAAGAATGTTACTGATCAGTTGATTTAAGGCTGGCCTTATTAACAGCAAAAGCAAACAGATTAGGTGGCCTAAGAAACTACTTAAAATTTAGTGACTCACAAGCAACAGTTGAAAGGAGTGACCTTTGTTCTTAGACAGCCCTGGATTCAAATCCTGACTCTGCAAGTCACTTGACTTCTTGGGAATGCAGTTTCCCTATCAGTAAAATGGGGGCAGTCACACCAGCATCCCACCAGGGTGATGAGGACTGAGTGAGCTGAAGGAGAAAATGTGGAGCATGCAGCTGATATTTAGCTGTGCCAGGGAGCCTCACCAGGAATTTCCGTTTCTGCTTCCAGTGGCTGCCTTGGGCATTGGTGGCCACATGGGCTTCAGTGACGGTTTTGATGAGCTCCCACTCCTCGTCCGTGGGCTCCGGCTTGTGCCCGATGGATTTCTGCAGCTCTTCCCGCCGTCTCTTCTCCCGGTTCTCCTCAATCAGCTTCCTCTTCGCCAGCCTCTTGCTGTCATCCAGTACCACTGGGAGAAGAGGAAAGATGAGACAAAACACACAGACACTCGCAGACACGTGGCAGACTGCACGTATTCCCCGGACCACCCACGTGCAGATGGCTGAGCACGTCCTGCAGGGTGGGTCACACTGGGGTATTTTCTCCCCTCGGCAGCAAACTGCCATTGACTAGCTATGGTCTGACATGAGACCTAGTGCCAAACTCCCAATGTCCGGCCAGCTTTTCAAAACAAAGCTCTGGGTGAAGCTGGACAATGGGCATCCCAACCCCACAGAAGGTGACTCTAAAGAAGAAGGAAGCAGAGGGAGGTAAAATCTGTCCTACCCATGGGGTAGGTCCCAGATGAGTCTGTATTCAGTCAATATGAGACTATAGCCAATCATCTGGATTCACTCTTAGGATCTCTGTTCCTCCTCTCTTGCCCTCAAATGGCTCTTAGTAACATGAACTTCAAATTAAAGTTCTGGAATGGTAAACAGGAGGCTAATGATCTCTTCCTCAGATAAAAAGGACCCCAACTCTTTATTAATTCCCTCAAGTGTTCATTGGAATGAGGCTCGGCCTATTGCTCTAGTCTCTACCTGGTCTACCCTCAATGGTGGTTAAAGAGCCCAGGCTTTGGAATCTAGAAAGAGCTGGGTTTGAATCCTGACACTACCACATTCTAGCTGTGTGACCTCTGGCAAGTTGCTTAGGCTCTTTGAGCTTTCATTTCTTCCTGTATAAAACGGGATCAACAATCCCCCCTCACAGGGTATTCAATGTGCTAATGTACTACAAGTGGTCAGTAAATAGAGCCATGACTTTTACCACTTATGCAAAAGGGACATAAGAAGGGCAGATAACAAGAAACATCTACTTCTGGGTTATTTTCCAAAACAAAACCATTTTACCAGACTCTTAGTAACCATCAATGGAATGGAAAGGCTCAGGTTTTATGCTACCGAGTCATAGTATTTTAGAACTGGAAAGAACCTTCGGTATTATCTAGCCCAACTCCCTCCTTTCACAGAGGAGGAAGTTGATCCAGAGAGATCATGACTTGCCTAAAAGTCACACAGCAAGTTCATGGCAGAGCCAAGGCAAGACCTAGGACTCCTGATTCCAGTTCTACAACATCATTGTCCTAGGGCCATTTCTTGATGAAGGTGTGACCTGGTAGGAAAAGAAAAAAAGCAAGCATAGCAGGAGGAAGAGAACCAAAAGTACTCAGCTAATCCACAAACAGAATAATGAAACCCCAGGTCATCCAGGTTGGATTGGATCATCCAAATCCCGTGAATGATGGCAAATGTGGGAAATGTGAATGAGCCCCATTAGGTCACTTTGGTTCCCTTATTAAAGGGGGGATGAGGAATGGACTCTACTCATAGCCTCCTTTCCCAAATGCTTCCTCTATGCCAGGGATTGTGGCATTTGACATGCATTATCTAATTTAGTCCTGAAAACAACTTGCAAGGTAGGCGATGATTTCACCGAGGGGAAACCCGAGGTTAGGTCTGATGGTCACACACAGCTAGTAAGTGGCAGATACGGGACTCCCAACAGTTTTTCTGATTATAAAGCCTGAGCTCTTATAATGCCTTGCAGGGCGCATTCAAAATTAATTTCCACCCAGGCCAGATTAACACTGAGCTTTTTTAACCTTATAAACATTCCTATTTTTAACTTCTCAATCAAACAATGATATGGACACAACAGTAACCGTCCCTTATGGTGACCCATCTAAATATTTGGTTCTAGTCAATCATTTTCACATATCCTTATCAGGCATATTGTTGGCAATGGCTAAAAATCTTTAAAAGATGAAGACAACACACTCAGCTAGAAGTGGGGATTAACCCAGGATTTCCAGCCTAAACCCTTCACACAACCCTCCTTCTTTTTTAAAGATTCCCCATTCTGTCTACTTTATTGGGCAAAGCAGGACATTTCACAGACTTTTTGTTGTTGTTGTTGTTGTTCTAGCTCAGAGTACCCTGTTTCTCACATAAATGTGAGCTGTGATTATTTCCTCTTTCCTGAGGAAAACCCTCATTGCATTCTTTTCTTCTTTCTTTCCTTTTTTTTTTTTTTTGCTTTCTTTTTCTTCTTCTTTTTAAACTAAAAGTTGGAAATTTTCATTGAGGTGCAGAACACTTATGCCAATAGAAACCATTAAGCCTGATGCCTGGCAAAACGGAGGCCACACATTCTGAATGACACAATTCTTACTTTATTATTAGATTAATTAAAGTGACTGGTGTAAATCCCTTGCACGGTGCGGGAAGAAGAGACTCCAGTGGCTAATCTCACCACCATATGCTGTGGCACTTTGAAAATTGGGTAGGAGGACTGGAGCTTAGAATGTTTTTATGGGCTAAAAATATAACAAACAACCAACGGCAGGATGACTCATGCGATAGCACTCGACTTCACATTCTTCAAAAATTACTGAACATGATGTTTTCTGCCAGTGCCCCATCTCCAAAAATGTCCACAAAATAAATTCCTGTCTCTGCTTTTGAAAAGTATCAGGACTAGTCCATGAGGCTCTCACCACACGAATGTCATACATAAAACTATGCCTTATCAAGGGGACTGGACATGACCGCTCATTCGTAATCTGTTGTGAACAGAGTATTGCTGACAGTCCTGCAAATGTGATAAGGATAATTGAATCACTCCCCCTCACGTGTAATCTGGATACTTTGAGAGTTAGAAGTTGATAGGGAAGGGGTAGGATGGAAACCCACCCAGCAGTAGCTGGAAGTGAGGGGTCTGTGGGAGCGCTAGGTATCTTCTCTCTACCTACATGGGTTCCTGCTTTCTTTTCTGCCTGGTTGATCTCCTTGAATCAGATCTTTCCCCAATGAACACTCCTTGAATATGAAACAAAGGAAGAAGATTACTTACAATCTGTTGCCATGCCAACATAGATGCATTTTTTAAAGCGACATTCCTGGCACTGATTTCTCGTAACTTTGTCTATGACGCATTTTCCTTCATATTTACAGGAATAGGATGGATGGAGATTTTTCTGAATGGTTCTTCTAAAGAAACCCTACATGGGAAAGAAAGACCCAAGACAGCAGTTTCATGTTTTCTAGAAATAAATGACTCCAGAATGTTGTGTCCATATAACTGTGATGGATAGTTTTGGACCTTACCTGTGTACGGGCCTGTAGCTCCTACCTATTCACATATAGGACAATTAGCCCAAACTGAATCTAAAGAATTCTAAATCGGAGCTGAAGGAAATGTCTAGGCCTACAGACAGAGTCAGTATCTTTTTGGCATTTAGTAAGGAAAAGAAGTTAATGGGAAAATCTAGTGTTCATTTTTATTTTTTCTAAACACTGAGTAATATAAATAAATTATATTATTTCATTTCATAGAGTGCCGTAATTGTGTCGTTAAGTTAAGCTGTTAAGTTAAGAAGAACCTTGCTACACTTTGTACTGGAGAATAAAGGAGCTGGATACTTGTGATACTCAGTTAATAATTCAATTATTTAGTAATTAAACAGCCTTTAGAGATTTAGTTTAGTTCTTGTTTTTAACTCTTGAAATGCCCATGGCCAGCTCAGATAACCCTTGAAACAATAGTACTTGGGGAGTAGAAAATTCAAGACTCTCTGCCCAATTTTTCTCAGTGCTCACTGCATTAGGGTTTTTCCTTTCATAGTGCTCTTCCTCTCCAGTTGGTAGACATACTCCCTGAGGTTCAGTAGGGGTCTTCCTTTCTTAAGGCATGGGAGAGGGCCACCGTAAAGGCTGCTGAGGATGCCATGTAGTCCAGGTTTAGGTGACATAAACCTTCTCAAAGGGGTGTTCTAGCAGAACCTTCTTGGACATGGTACTCCTGTCTTGGCAATGGTGCTTCTGTATTGTAGCACTCATGATGGCAGAAAGCGTGCCCTTACTGTAAGGGGCACATTGCAAAGTGCTGTAGACACCTTCCATATCCTCTGTCTCTTCTACAACCTTATGAAGTAGGTACTCTTAACATCTCCACGGTAGGTATTAAAAAACTAAGCCTCTGACAGGTTAAATCACTTGCCCCAAATCATGTGGTAAGTACACTGGGAACTCAGCCTAGAGCTGAGGAGTCAGACTCCAAGTCTTATTTACCTAATTGCTTATATGATATAAACTGAATCCAATTTTACTGTATTATTTAAATGTTTTAGAGGAACAGATTATAAATAGCACCCCCCCCCGCCTTTATCTGTTTTAGTAGACTAGCAAGGCAAAAACAAATGTTGAAGGATACTGTCTACTCAAGCTTAAAGGGACTTCTAACTTTGTTACATAAATAGGGACTGACATACCAGTTGGCCTAGATTAAAGCCAAATTTGAATGATCCTATTTAACTTTCCTTGGCTTTGATTAGGTACATATACCACTTGCATATTCACTCAGACATAAGAGCTCTCTACCTTATAATGAAAAAGTCAAAGGTAGAATTTTATATTGGGCAAAGCAGGATAAAACAGAAAAATGACAGCCATGACTGAAACTAACGAACTTGATTGGGGACATGTGAGTAAATCCCTTATCATTTCTAATGTTCAAGGTCTAACAGGAAAACGGCTGCATTATTATTCGGGTTTTGTATCCTTAAACACTTACATCCATTAGTTTGAATGATGTTGCTATCGTGTTATAAGATTCACTCAATCACACATGGGCAGGTCTTTTCATGCTGGCAGTGCGTTTCCCTGGGTATTCAAGGTGGGCTCATTCTGCTAGAGCATGAATGTCAGGGCATGCCACAGCACTGAAAGACAAGCTGCCCTGTGAACCTCCCTACTCTACCTCTGCGGCCCTCTCTCCAACCCACCCTTCATGGGTCATCCCTGCCTGGAGAGCAAAAAAACCCCTAGAGATTCCTGGCAAGAAGACATGTGTCATAGACAGGGAGGAGAGCGGCTGGGTAGCATACCTCCTTCTGGAGAAGGCAGAGTTTCCCCAGAGGTGGCAGCACCAAAGTCCAGGGCATCAGGGAGAATGTGTGCTGCTAGGAGGATAGGAAAGTTGTTGGGGGAGACCCTTTTCTCACACATACTTGGACGCTGACTCATGTTCTAGAAGCGGGGAGCAGACCAAAGAGTCCGACAATGCTAAGGAGAGAAGGAGCTATGGTACACCAGACACTGGAGTAACATTCATTTTTCTAAAAAGGCTACTCTGTGAGCCTTTAAATGGAATGAATGAAATAATTTATACTTTGCTTATGTTGAGAAAGGTGTTGGGGTAGCAGGCTCTGCTATTCATAGTACCATCTTTTCTATGGCTTCTCTCTGATGGACTTTTCTCGGGTGCTTCATGGACCAAGTCCCCTTTAAGATGTTGGCTTCCCCTAAGTTATAATAAAAGGATATTTGACACATGATGAGGGATCACTTCATTTGAGTAAATGTAAAGGTGCTAGATCCCTTACTTTTATTATTATTATTTTAATTTTTATTTTTTAAAGATTTTATTTATTTATTTGACAGAGAGAGACACAGGGAGAGAGGGAACACAAGCAGGGGAAGTGGGAGAGGGAGAAGCAGGCTTCCCACTGAGCAGGGAGCCCGATGCGGGGCTCGATCCCAGGACCCCGGGATCATTGACCTGAGCCGAAGGCAGACGCTTAACGACTGAGCCACCCAGGTGCCCCTAGATCCCTTAATTTTAAAAAGTGACAAAAATTAACTTCTGGAAGTGAACCGAATAGAAAATATTTAATATAGTCTACCTACAAAAATCTTTTTAGAGGTGAGCTAACAAAAGACATGTCCCAGGGACTAAGTAAGGCCATGTATTTCATTAATTATTTGTTGGTGAGGAGAGGTTTTGCTTTTATTAATCAACATCAGACATGTTTCTCTGTATTTTGAGAAGAACTGGATCCACTTCTTAGTGGTCTGAGATGATGCCCTGATTAGTGTGATAAGGAGCTAAGTGTCAATATTTGGGCAACTGCTATAAGCTATGAATCTTTCTTAAAAAAATAGTTTGTTGTGGGGAAGTATCAACATTCTTTCTATAAAAGACTGGCTCATCAAAACAGACAGAACAGCTCCAAAAGATTTTTGCTGTCTTCAGGGCAAAAATGGGCAAAAAAGACATGTACACTGCAAGTGTGGGGTAGAAATATTTTTAAAGGGCCAGTTTGAATAAACAGTATGTGAAGCATAAACTTTTTTATCTTTGGCCACTCTTAAAAACTGTGTTTCACTTGAAAAACTCCATTGTCTTTTTCTAAGATACGTTGTCTTTATATTAAATGCATGATCTGCATAATTACCCCAGGAAAGCTGCTTTCTGATTTTATGATGGAGGCAATTCTAGAAACAGGATTCTGATCTGAGATAAAGGGACAGAGGCTGAAAAAAATCTAGCTTTTTGCTACATGATTTCTTCTTTTAGGTAAACCTCAGTTGAATCAGGACCCAAACATGCTGTGATCTTGGAAAAAGAGGCTAATGGATTTCCTGATCATCATGAAGACATACATGAGGCAGGGACACGGGTTAATGGGCTTGATTCTCCATTTGTTTAAGTCAATCACTAATAAGCATTAAGTTCTCTGTAAGGCACATTTGGTCTTTAGAGTCACTTTGGGAGTTGAGTATTAAATGGAATTTTCATTAGAGTCTCTCCCAGAATTCAAAATTTACCATTAGGAACTGATTTGAAAGAATCTCAATGCTCAATGCTACATAATCAGGTAGGCAAAGCTTTATGAATTGGAGCTGCTTTAGAAAAAAGGTCTGTTTGAATTACTGAGCTTATAGAGAGAGTATATCTAAAGTAATACAGTGTTATTACTTCCAAATCAAGCCAATAAAACTGTGCTTTCAAGAGACAGTCTGCAAGTCCCCCAATTAATAAACAGTCAGGACTTACTTGTATTTGGTTCCATTAAACTCCTTAAGATTATTTTCATGGATGTAATAGCAATATTTAGTACAATCTTTTTTAAAAGGTACAAATTCCAGATCAAAGGTGTCTGGATGAATGAGAGCACACTACATCACATTACAAAAATCTTGCAGATACAGGGCCTTGGGAACTTAGAAACGCCCTGATGTGTCCTGATTCCCATGGCTGTATCATTTCAACACTTACAGCAGGCTTCTGCTAAGTGTTTCCGAATTTCATGCAAAAAAGCTAGGGTATTTGCATGGAAAATCTTCCATTAAGAAATGGGGCACCTTACGTTGAAACCAAGCTACCATGCTGATTTTTGGGGTTCAGGGTCAAGGGTTAGGAGGAAACGGGGGTAGTTGAAGGAGGGGAACAGAGAGGAGGAGGTGAGGTGGGTGACGGAGGGAAGACTGAATTGTTTTATGCAGTTTAATACAATCTTTGCCTTAGGATTTACATCTTGGGATCATTTGGTTTTAAATATAAAAAGTAAATAAAACATTTAGCAAGTAAACATTTAAGAAGTCTTTCCCTGACTTAATATACTTCCTCATTTATAAAACATTAGCTGAACGCTGGATCTAGCACTGGGTTGAGCTTTATTTGTTTTTATAGTAGACTTTATTTTCTAGGCTAGGTTGTTGGACCAAAAGATATTTGCCAGAAAGTTCATCTTAATTTTGATGATGAAGAGTGTAAGTAGGCAAATTTAGGCTCACTTTCGGGAAGTGAACTGTTGATCATGGGTGTATTCTTGTCAAGAATCTCCTGTAGATGGGTCTGTAGAGCATAAAATTAGCTGATGGATGTCCAGAATTCACTTACTGGCTGAAGGCTGTGCAGAAAGCCAATTTGGATAATTTCAGAACATAATTGAATCTAAGTAGCCTCAAAGATACTCTCTAATGGAACCCTTAAAAGTGAGCATATTAAAAAAATAAACAAAAGTGGGCATATTTACTCAGATTAATAGCGTGTGGTAGAGTACATTCTGTGTCCTTAACCACTGGAGATAAAACAAGAGGAGAAATTGTTATTTCTTGGGCTAATATATTATAAAATATCTATGCATTTTTAAATTCACAGAGGGAATAGTAATTTCTTTTCATCTTATTAGTTCTCTCCCTGTCTTAAAAGCCAGACATTACACTCTTGCAAATCCATTTAGTTATTGTTGATTTGGGGAAAAAAATTCAGTTCTTAAACATGCCAAAAGTTGAGGAGGACAGCCAGACACAGGCTGTGGATGATCACAGGCCGTGAATGTTGGAATTTGGTTCTAATTTGAACTTAAACGTCATGTTGCATTCTGGTGGAAACCTGGGAGGGGGACTAGAGCTGGGCTGAGCTCTGAGCTCACTGGTCCCAGGGCAATTACCTTGCAGCCTTCACACGTGATGCAGCGGTAGTGATACCCAGTGGCTTTGTCACCACACACTACACATAGCTCGTCCTTGTCTAAATAACTGGGGATGTACCCTGTGAAGAAGGAAAAAAGAGGAATGTGAGGAGAAAATATCGCGCTAAAGTCAAAGACACACCATAGCCTGGCAGAGGATAAAAGGAGGACAGGAGATAAAGCGCATGAGGGAGGAGGCAGGACCAAATTGTTTTATACACTTTGATCCAACTTGTGCTTTAGCGTTTACATCTTGTCATCCTTTAGTTTTAAATACAAAAGGTAAATAAAATATTTAACAAGAAAAACTTTGAAGTCTTTCCCTGACTTCATATACTTCCTCTCGTATCTTACACTTATCCGCTGTATTCTCCCATACGTATAGAGTTGGATAGGAGGCCCAGGATTTCAGAATGCCTTAGAAATAGGTGTGGTCATTCTTGCTCTGCAGGTGGGAATATATCTGAAGGCTGTTGGAGCCAGTGAATCATACAGAGAGGCCAAGATTTGAGACATCTGGAGTGCTCTGGGGTCTGGAGAACATAGTCTCTTTTGCAAGCCTTTTTTTCAGAATTTTTTCTTAGAAGACTGGATCCACTTTGGAATCAAGGCACCATGCAATAAATTCAGAAAACTTTACAGCTCGGAGATCATCAACTACTTTTGAGGCGAACAGACTTTCAGAGGTTTGTCTGGCGTTCCTGAGGGTCACACTAGAAATTAAAGCAGAGATCTTCTAACCAGATCTCCTAACTTCTAGTATAAGTAATGCTTGTCTTTTTCTAAAAATAGACAGTTAACTTTAAGTAGAATGAACAAAGCCATCTAAAAAATATCTTTTGGTAAACTTGTGCCGTTATGAGACAAAACCCAACAATTCTGGGTGATGTGAAATAATGGAGGCTCTATTTATTAATTAAAAAAAGAAAGTCCAACCATGATAACTCTCTTTGTTAGTGTACTCTTGGTTTATTAGTTTAAATTCTTTGACCCAGGAAACTAAAGTTTAAAAACCAAACAGAAGCAACCTACTTCCCACCGGTCTTTGCCTCTTCCCCTTCACTTGTAGACAATGTCCAAACACAAGAAACTGATTCTAAGGGGCAAATTCAGTTTCATATGGTATCAGTGGTTTACCATTGAAGCACATATCTTTAGATGAGTGCAGAAATCAAAATAAGGTCTGCTTTGTCGGGATGTGGAGAAGGGAAAGGCTGAGAAAACAAAATCATTCCTTTCCCAGATCATGGCCCCTTATGAAGTTCTTTGACTTGGTAAACTCTTACGGTTTCAATAAAGATTAGCCAGGGTGAAATGACAGATGATTTATTGTATGCTCTACCATGACATTTTCTTATATCTTTTATTAAACTAGGTCACAGAGGGTTTACATTTCAGAAAAAAATCCACAAAGAAAACAGAAGAAAATGAGTCCTTTTCACAATTTCTTAGAAATTACTTTGCTCAGACTTTATTTTAGAAAAATGGCCCTTCTTGGGAGGGAGACAAATGACTTCAGAGTGAGATCCGGTAATGTACAGGATTATCTTCTTAAATATCACAGCTTTTCTTAGTTTACTTTTGCATCATGCAAACCATGAGTCATCTGTTGAATTCACTTCAAGAGTTTCAAAACTTCCATCAGACATTTTTAAAAAGAGCATTCTGGGAGGGATTGGGACAGAAAATAAGGGGACTGGAATGATTTGTGTGTTTATTCAATCATTCATCTATTCATAAATTCAGAAAACATTTATTTAGCATGTACTATGTATGCGCTTAGCACTGTGCTTGGTGCTGAGAATATAAAAACAACTAAGGCATGGTTTCTTCCCTTGGTAGGCGCGCACGTGTAGGAAACTGAGTTCTGTACTTCCAGTCCTGGTCATTCCTCAACGAGAGAAGAAAAGGTGAAGATGAAGGAAAGAACATGAAAGATGCTGAACAGCACCACAAGGAAATGCAAAGCCCAAACCACAATGAGACACCACGTAACATCCTCTAGTATGGTTATAATAAAAATGGTGGACAATAACAAATGTTGGTAAGGATATGGAGAAATCTGAACCTTTATATGTTGCTGGTAAGAATGTAAAATGTGCCTTAGAAAATAGTTTGGCAGTTCCTCAAAAGGCTAAACATAAAGTTACATATGACCCAGCAATTCCACTCCTAGGTGTGTTCCCAAGAGAACTGAAAATACATGTCCACACACAAACCTGTACAGGAATGTTCAAAGCAGCATTATTCATAATATCCAAGGGATGGAAACAACCCAAATGCCCATCAAATGATGAATGGATAAACAAAAGGTAGTACATTCATACAATGGAATTTATTCAGCTGTGAGAAGGAATGAAGTACCCAGATGTTGTATGATTTCATTTCTATGAGATGTCTAGAATAGGCAAATTCATAGAGAAAGAAATTGGATTAGTGGATGACAAGGCCTGGAGGGAGGGAGTAATGGGGAGTAACTGCTAATGGGTACAGAGTTTCTTTTCATGGTGACAAGAATGTTCTGGAATTGTATAGTGTTGATGGTTGCACAACTCTGAATATACTAAAAACTACTGAATGGAAAACCATTGTTTTTCATGGATATGTTTTGTGCACTTTCAGTGTGTGAGGTCTATGGTATGTGGAATATGTTTCAATAAAGCTGTTACTACAAAAACAAAGAAATGAAGGAAATAAAAGAGAATGGTTGCATCTGACAAACATTTGTGTGTGTATACTATGTGCCAGGCAGTGTGCTAAGGATCTAAAGATGGCTAAGTTTCAATTCTTGGGGAAGTTTTCTGTGCGGTGGGGAAAAAGACAATAACAGATCATCTGCATATAATGTGGAAGGCACTAGGATAGTGCTATGTCCAGAATCACAGAGGGGAAACCCTTTGAGAAGCCTTCCTGCCTACCCCCCCAGCTCAAGTCTAAACTGGGTACTCCCATATCTCCTTGTGCTTCCTCAATAGTAGTCCTTTTATACCTATATTATAACTACCTGTGAATTCTTTCTTCCCTTTGACCATAATCTTTGATTCACTATAGGTTTGTACAGTTCCAGCTAGAGGGCAGGGCTCAAAACATTCATGCTGAAACCCCAGTGTCTAACACCTGCTCCCTCTATGGATGGCATACAGTTTTCAAGATCTCTGCCACTGGCCAATGGTGAAGAACGTGAGCAGGAGGGATATGTCTGGAACCTGCAGATAAGTAGGTTTAAAAGCCTGGAGCTGTGCCTGAGAAGGCTAAAGATCTCAGAAAAGATTTCTGAAAGAGGTGATAATGCCGATTCAGGGGGCCAAACTTCAGAGCTAATGAAAACGGCATTAGAAAGTTTGATTTTTGGTAAAGAAACCAAGATTCCTCTCAGATTAAAACTAACACATCCAGATTGAAGCTCATCCAAGACCTAGTGATCTGAGGAGATGCATGCTCACTAATCAACTAGATTCGGTCCTTCTTTCTTTGCTCTGATCACTAGGTTCAATACAGTGAGACAGGACCAAAGAGAGCTTAAGGGCAATACCATTTTCCCACAATATAGAAATGAAAATCACGATGACCAGGCCAGTTTGATTCAGATACCCATCACCAAAAGTGGAGATTTGCAGTCTGAATTTTATACAATGTGCTCCACTTTCTACTTTGGGCTATCTAACCCACTACCCATTACATTCAAAAGAGTCTTTGCTTCCTGGCTAGGTTTCTCATTAACCCCAAGTCCCAAGGTTGTATATGCCACTGTCTGGTAGGTAACTGATGGTGCTGTGGTTCCAATTTAATAAGAAATCTAATAACATCTACAGGAAAACTCACTGGGCATTGCTTTATTCCAAACACAATTTTGGGGAATCCATCTATAGGAAGAAATAACACAAAATATTGCAACAGGGCTCTGTGCTCAGAGAAATAACTAGTTACCAAATGTGGGGGGAGGGTCATAGGGAAAATGGTTGGAGATACTCTGGACTTAACTAACACCAGTGGCATTCAGTGGTCAGTCTTTAGGAATCAAAAGCAATGTATGTATTAGTTTCTTACAAACTTTCTTTTTACATAAAAAAATTATACAAGTAATACAGTTCATTATAGAAAAAAAAAGACATAAATGAGCAAAAATGAAATTTGCCTGTCAACTCACCCCAAAGAGATAACCACTGTAGCATTTTGGTGTTTCTTCATCTTGGATTAGTATGTGTGACAGTGTGTACACACCTTTGTGTGTGCATTGAAACACAGGCTTAATAAACACAAAGTAACTTTTAAGCAACAAAGTAACCCAATTATTAAAACACACACCTTTCTAGTAAAGGCAGATGGAATGCATATATCCATGTCAGGAAAGCTATCTCTTGATCTCTTATATGTAGAGGTTATGTATAGTTATCAGAGTGAGGACTTTTCAGTTCTTGGTATCAGGTGCCCACAGGAGAGATAAGGGAGAAAGAGGTAAGGGCACATCCTTCTCATATTCAGGAACCAATTGTAATACAGTTGGACACTGTACTGTTTATGGGACATGCCTTGGGAGGGCCAGAGAATATTAACCAGAGTTAAGTTGCTTGTCCCTCACCATTTCTCACTCTACCTCATGACTTGCCTGCTCTATCTGGTGGTGTTGGCAGTAAGATACTGAAAATTTCCTCCTCCCTGTAGTTGAACAATTTACATAGATGGTTGAACTCTTTGACCTTTAGGTTCTTATGAATCCTGGAATCCAGTGATAATTCAGTCTGTGAGTAGAATGGGCTCCTTCCATTTTCTGACTGCTAGTCTTATGGGTGGTTTAATTTGTTCTCTGATTTCTCCTAGATTCTCTTCTTGGTGGATGAATAGGTGATTTCAAATGTCTTTAGTGAAATCATCACGACGTTTATAGAAACATCTACTTAAGTTGGTTGCAGTTGCTTACATGGTCATCCTAGTGTACCCCACCCATCTCTTTCTTTTCTCTAAAATATTAACTCAGAACCATCTTATTTACCCAAAACAGTCAACACAGGCAATGATACATCAATTATCATGCCTAAGTCCATTATTCATCATTAAATAACATCGCTCAGGGAGTAACATC